GCATGAAAATTCTCGGCTCCTATATGCCCAACTCCTCCTTTTTTTTTTTTTTTTTTTTTTTAACGTTACCAAGAGGGTGTGTGCACTTGCCGAAGAGAGAAAAAAAGTGGGACACATCCCCCATGCGGGATGGAGAAATCACCCCCCTGGGGGGATGGCCACGCCACAATCCCTTCTCCTCCATTCTCCTCTTCGGATCTTGGGCACACACGCACACACACCCGGTGTGAGTTTTAAGCCACCAGGTCTGGGACGCGGTTCGTGGTCGACTACACGGGAGTCCAGCGACATAGCCATTACGCTAACTGCTGGTCCCATCATTCTTCTTTTTTTAAAGAATTATTTAATTTTTATTTATTCATTCATTCACTTCAATTTGACCAGAGAGACACACACACAGAGAGAGAGAGGGAAAGTGACCAAGCAAGCCACCAGGTCTGAGCCTTGAACTATGGTTGGCCATGTGCGAGTATCCAGCACCTTAACCACCATGCCATCTGCTTGCCCTCCCAACGCATTCTTTAGAAAGAAACACTATAAAGAGATAAGCAGGGCCAGCTGATGGCATAGTGGTTAAACGGCTGGATCCCACATGGCTGCCTTCACAGTTTGAGTCTTGGACCTGGCAGCTTGAAAAACATACCAGGCACATGTGCATGCTTGCCCGAAATCCTGAAAGGAGAATGGAAGAGAAAGGACTGCGGTGTGCCCATCACCCCCATCTCTCTCTCTGGCAAGCATATGCACCCCGTAGCAAAACTGAGAGAGGGGGGGGAGAGAGAGAGAGAGAGAAAAGCAGCTCATCACACAGATTTCATGGCTTGTGGGAAATATCCTTTTAACTATACAGTTCCGGGACCAGCAGTTGGTGTAATGGCTATGTCGCTGGACTCCCATGTAGTCGACCACAGCTCAAGTCCCGAACCCAGTGGCTTAAACTCAAGCTGGGCGCGTGTACGTGCGTGCCCAAGATCCCGAGAGGAGAAGGAATTGCAGCATGGCCACCCCCCTTGGGGGATGATCTTGCTGTCGGTCTCTGTGTGTGTGTCTTTCTGGCGAGGAAGGAAGGAAGGAAGGAAGGAAGGAAGGAAGGAAGGAAGGAAGGAAAAAAAAACATACACTTGTGCCAAAACTACTAACTAAGCAATCAAAAGTCTAAAAATGTTCTTCTCATCAACAAACTTAACCACTAACAGGGAGTACTGCACACACGAGACGGCCCCACGTGTGCACTCAGCCATGGCCCCACTGTGCACTGATGAGGCCTCGTTGTGCTCTACATGTTCAGTTCTGTAAGTCAGAGCATCACAAGTCTGCCCCCCAGAATCTGCTTCCACTCCACACTTACTCATGACAATTTACTGACACCATTTTACCTTCCCTTTTTTAGGTTTCTGACATAGGATGCATGCACTCACTGGAGAAAGACAGAAGGGGGAAAATGAGAAACCAGCCTGAGGAGAATGGCCCCACCACAATCCCTTCTCCTCCATCCTCCTCCTGGGATTTGGGCACACACACACCCAGTTTGATTTTCAAGCCACCGAGCCTAGGACTCGAACCACGGTTGACCATGTGGGAGTTCAATGCCTTAACCACCATGCCACCTGCTGGCCCAATACCATTTTATCTTTAATCACCAAAAACAGTCAGGTGGCTCTGCTTAATTAACATGGGTTTTGGAAAATATTCTTCCAAGTCCTTCAAACAGATGCAGCGTAAGAGCCGATCACACTCTTCATCCCAGCTTCCCAGACACCACTGATGTCTTCAGCTTCCTTCCTCCTTCCAAATCTCCCTGGATTAGCAAGTATTCTCCTCCCTTTCTCCATTTCAGAAGAGTCCTTTGAGCACATCGGGACGCCCTCATTCCTGAGCTCCCGATCTCGTCCGCTCCCACTCTGCCCCACTCGTTACCTGCTCTCTGCCTGAAGATAGAAGGAAAGAGACGGGGGGGCTTCAACAACCGCTATTCTTTTTTTTTTTCTTTTTGAGAGATGTTTGCAATAAGGTGTGTGTGCTCACCAGAGAGAGAAAGAGAGAAGGAAAGAGAGATAGCCAGACAGACGGAATGTGAAATATCGCCCCGAGGGGGGTAGCCATTCCTCAGTCCCTTCTCCAAAATCTCCTCTCGGAATTTTAGGCATACACGCACACGCACACCAGCCTGAGTTTCAAAGCAACATGTCCAGGACTCAAACCGTGGTCAACCACGTGGGAGTCCAGCACCTTAACCGCTTTGCCACCTGCTGGCCCTACAACCTCTATACTGAAAAATCAAAACTGCCAGGACCAGCGAATGGCGTTCACGGTTACATCGCTGGACTCTCACACAGTCAACCGTGGCTGAAGTCCCAGACTCGGCGGCTTAAAACTCACACCAGGCGCATGTGCATGTGCGCCTAAAATCTCAAGAGGAGAATGGAGGAGAAGGGATTATAGCATGGCCATCTCCCCAGGGGATGATTTCTCACTTTCTGTCTCTCTAGATGAGTGCATGCACCCTATACCAAAAAAAAAAAAAAAAAAACTCTCTCTTAAAAACAAACCAAAACTCCTTCCCCAAACCACCATGCATTTCTCTTCTCCTCTTCCCTTCACCACCATTCAATCAGCCCTAGCTTCTGTCTTATCTTCACTAACCACCGATTCCTTCATACCCTGCAAGATTTAACTTCAACCCAAATTTCCTTCCTCAACACCTTACATGAAAATAAGTCCCCTCAGATCTGTAGTTCCCCTTCAGTGTTCCAGGTGCCCATTGCCTGCTGAAATTGGAAAATACTAAATGAAACATTTACAGAAATAGACCATTTCTAGGTTTTTAAGTTGTAGCCATTCTAAGTAGGGTGCTGGAAGCTAGTGCCATCTGGCTGCCCCTCTGGGTGCGTGAATCATCCCCTTCCAGCACATCCGTGCTACGCGTGCCACCCACCCTTGGTCACTAAGTATCTGCCAGCAGTTACCAGACTGAAAAAACACAATATTTGTAGGATTCGGTACTAGTCACAATTTCAGGCATCCACTGGGGATTCTTGGAACTGTCCACTGTTTCTGTGGAGAAAGGGCTACTGCATAACAGTGGATTAGTTTAGAAATGACTGTTACTTCGATACATGAGGGCAGAATAGTACAGTAGTGTGGGTGAAAACGGTGAGCTGAGAACTTACTAGTTGTGTCATCTGGGTGGTTGGAGGGGGACATTATGTTTCATTCAGATGGATTTTGGTAGCTTTTCATGTCATGTGTATATAACCGCATAGTCAGAAAATAATACATTTTGAAAAAGCTTGATTTAAAATGTTAAAGCTTCAGGACCAGCAGGTGACATGGTGGTTAAGGACACTAGACACTCCCGCACGGCCGACCATGGTTCAAGTCCTGGACCTGGTGGCTTCCTTTCTCGTTATCTCTCTCTCTCTCTCTCTCTCTGTCTCTCTGTCTTGCTCTGGTCAAACTAAAATAAATGAATGAACAAATAAAGTTAAATAATTCTTTTTGGTTTTTTTTTTTTTTTTTTGGAGAGATTTTTTGCTATAGGGCGCATGCGCTCACCAGAAAGAGAGAGACAGAGAGACAAAAAGTGAGAAATCACCCCCCAGGAGGATGGCCACACCGCAATCCTTTCTCCTTCAGTCTCCTCTCGGGATCTTGGGCATGCACGCACACGCCCCCGCCCCCGGCGGGAGTTGAGCCCACCGGGTCCGGGACGCAACCCGCGGTCGGCTACATGGGAGTTCAGTGACACAGCCATTACACTAACTGCTGGTCCCAATAATTCTTTAAAAAAATCAATAAAATAAGATGTTAAAGTTTCTAAGCCTCCGAAGTACCCAAGAACCAATTTCGTATATCACGTTCTAGATTCAGGATCTAGCCTTGCTTTCTTCTGTCGGGATTTACAGTTCTAAAATTCTGAAAACAAGTTTAAAGACAATTGAATTCTTTGGCCCAGCGCAGCGGTAGCACTAACTCCACAGTACTGGAAGCCATATGGAAGATCAGGATGCGGTGCCTGGGTTGACCTGGACGTGCCAGGCGTGTGTATGTGGGCCCGTGATCCTGGCTGGCTTACAGGGCATTAGAGAATCATGGCAGGAGACCCTCAAAGGGTGATTGTCTTTCTTTCCCCTTGCCCATAAAATAAACTTAACAAAAGAATTGAATTCTAAGTCACTAATTTCTCATGAAGTTAAACCGTGGCATAAGTTCAAATATCCAATATAGTAGGTTGTCAGGAAAGTCATAATGCACTTTTGCATAGAAGAATATGTCACGGGCCAGCAGATGGCAGTTGTTGAGGCACTGGACTCCACACGGCCAGCTATAGTTCGAGTCCTGGACTTGACAGCTTGCTTTCTCACTTCTCTTTCTCTGTCTCTCTCCAGTAGGCATGCATGCCCTGTGACAAATTTAAATTAATTGGGACCAGCGGTTGGGGTAATGGCTATGTCACTGGACTCCCATGTAGTCGACCGCGGTTCGAGTCCCGGACCCAGTGGCTTAAAACTCATGCCGGGCGCGTGTGCGTGCGTGCCCACGATCCCGAGAGGAGAATGGAGGAGAAGGGATTACGGCATGGCCATCCTCCCTGGGGGGTGATTTCTCACTTTCTGTCTCTCTGTCTCTCTCTGTCTTTCTGGCAAGTTCACATGCCCTATAGCAAAAACCTCTCAAAAAACAAAATTAAATTTAAAAAAGAAAAATATGTCACGACTTTCCTGGTAACCTAATATTATTCTTTGTTTTTCTATGCAAAAATGCTCCATGACTTTCGTGACCCAATACTCCATTGTATTTGCACAGTGGGAGTGGAGGAAAGAGTAACAGCAGAGGGCTGGGAGAATCGGTCGACACAATTAAAGAAGAGTAAGTGGGAGAAGGAATACGACAACTGGTCACCGGGATAAAATGAAGACTGTATTTTTTTCCTCCAAATCTGTGAAGCGTAAGAGGCACCGAGTGAAGAGTGGTTCAGTGGTTATGCTCAACGCTCTTACCTTCTGAGGCTCTCCTTCTTCTCGTCACGTGTCAGACAGCTGTCTAAGTGCTGATTAATGTGATTTTCGGGAATGTTAACCCCACACACAGGACAATCCACTGTATTTTTAAAAAAGAAGACCAGAAACTTTATTATTTGTAGAAAGGTCTAAGATAATAAAAGCTGGCATCTTCTAGCAATTAAGATAAAAGATAGAATCCCAAAGCCAGCAGGTGGCGTGGTAGTGAAGGTGCTGGACCCACATGGTTGGCTTCACGGTTCGAGTCCTGCACCAGTGGCTTAAAAACACTCTGGGTACATGTGTGTGCACACAGAATCCCAAGGGAGAATGAAGGAAAAAGGGACTGCAGTGTGGCCATTCCTACTGAGAGGTGATTTCTCACTTTCCCTCTTTGTCCATCTCTCTAGTGAGTGCATCTGCCCTATAACAGAAAACTAAAAAGAAAAAAAAAAAGAGTCCCTACTTAACATGCACATAGAAAAGCAGAAATTAGTTTATTAGAAAATGCTTTGGTTACATCTTTCTTACCAGGGTAGGAAACTAAGAAACAAAAAAACTAATCATAAGCTTCCTCAAGCCTTAGGAGTCACCTGTGTTTACCAAAGAAGCAATCTTAACAACTTTAGTAAAAAGTGCCTGGCCTGGGGCCAGCAGGTGGTATGGTGGGTAAGGCATTGGACTCCCATGTGTCGAACTACGGTTCAAATTTCGGACCTGGTGGCTCACTTACTCTCTCTCTCTCTCTGGAGAGCATACGTGTCCAACAACAATAATAACAATAATAAATAAAATAACATAATTTTTTAAACAACAAAATACCTGGCCCAGGGTTAGGCTGGGGTAGGTCCAGCTAGATTCAAGCATTTACTAAACGGGGGCCAACTCCTGTTCAACTTGGTCAGTGGTTACAAATGTGTTAACTTAGTTCTTATTTGTGAACTCATACACACTGTTAAAATTCGTGCAATCATTTCCAAACTGTTGCATGTTGCTGGACACGCTGTAGAGGTGGCTCAGGCCCAGAGCCCACCATGGAGAAGGGGGAAGCCAGGAGGAACATCGCGCACCCTCCAGGTCCTCCTTCCCTGAACCATACCACCTAAAATAGATGAAACTGGCCCTGCTGTGTGAGTACGGATGGATTTACAAGATTTCCTTTAAAAAAAAAAAGGTATTGCTAAGGGGGAAAACTTAACTATCAAACTAAAAAACCACCTGAGAAAAACTGTCAATTGGTTTAAAAAACAAAAAGTGACCCGGTGGCTTGAAAATCGCACTGGGTGTGTGTGCATGTATGCCCAAGAACTCAGTAGGAGAATGGAAGAGAAGAGACTGTGGAGTGGCCATCCCCCGCTGGGGGTGATTTCTCGGTTTGCTCTCACTGTCTCTGTCTCCCTGGCAAGCACATGTACCCTAATCCAAAAACCTCTTTAAAAAAAAAAAAAAAAAGGCATCTGAGGCACAAGATAGGCACTTGATAAATACTAATATTCTCTGCATCTTCCCCCTTTCCTTGTAATTTAAAAATCCAGTATATTCTGGAGCCAGCAGATAGCATAGTGGTTATGAGGCTGGACTCTCACGTAGTCGACTGTGGTTCGAGTACCAGATCTGGCGGCTTAAACTCATGCTGGGTGCGTGTGCATGCGTGCCCAGGATCCTGAGAGGATAGTGGAGGAGAAGGCATGGTGGTGTGGATATCTCCCTGGGGGGGTGATTCCTTGCTTTCTGTCTCTGTCTTTCCAAGTGAGCGCATGCACCCTATAGCAAAAACCCCTCTTTGGAAAACGACAACAATAACAACAAAAAACAGTGTTCTATTCTAGGCTATTCTATTCCACAGAAAACTCATTAATCCCCTAAGTAGCCTTGACCTTGGTAACCCTGACCCCACCCTTCTGGGCCACTATTCCACTCTTCAGTGTCCCAAGCTGAGTTCTCACATCAGATCCCCCACAGCACTGGAAGCCTGCCTACTCAGCACACCTTCTTCTTACTACTGTAACTGTCTTTTCCCACACTCCAAAGCTCTTGAAGGGGGCTACATCCACCTCGATGACTGCTATTGGGTCGTCAGAAGAGTCATGATGTGTTGTTTCTATGTTTTCAAGCATCATTGATTTATATAAAGAACAAAGATCCATCAAAAAGAGAAAGAACGAAAGTACAAGCCTGAAAGTTACCCCCTACCTCTAGTAACCTTCTTCAGTGTGGACGTAGACGGTGTCTCGGGATCGTGAGCACCGGAGGGGCCTGGAGCCATCCTTGGTACAGAACACGGCTCTGCCGTCTCTACAGAAGTGCTGGCCTCTTTTTGAGAGCTCGATTTGCTTTCCTTTTCTTTTATCGACAGCTCTGAGGTGGAGCCACCGGCTTCTCTAATCAGGAAACTGTCCATCAGTCTGCTCCCCTGGCTTAAGGGCTGTCTGAAGGCCGCCGGGGTATGCACCTTGACAGTGAGGTTCTTCGAAGAGGAAGAAGGCGATACGGGTGGTGACTCTAACGCAAACTGCCACAGATGATTCCTTGAAACACACAAAAAAGACACAATCGACAGCTGAAATATCAAATTACTATAATAAATTCACTGACGTAAGCAGTTTTCCCAATGAACACTTCTCTAATGACCACAATATCAAAGTGTTCCTTCTAGAATAAAATGTAAAACAATACATCTGACTTGAAAGCTAGTGAATCTGTCTATAAAAGAAAATGGCTGGGACCAGCAGTTAGCATAATGGCTATGTCGCTGGACTCCCACGTAGTCGACCGTGGTTCACGTCCCGGACCTGGTGGCTTAAACTCACACTGGGCGCGTGTGTGTGCGTGCCCAAGATCCCGAGAGGAGAATGGAGGAGAAGGGACTGTGGCATGGCCATCCCCCCTGGGGGGTGATTTCTTGCTTTCTGTCTCTCTGTCTCTGTCTGTCTGGTGAGCGCACGCACCCTATAGCAAAAATCTCTTCAAAAAAAAAAAGAAAATGGCAGAACTTTGAGCTTTGGTCATGGTAATAACTATGATGAGACTTCATTTCTTGCCACAAATTATTTTAAAATCTGGAAGAAACATAAAAACGACTGTGTAGGCACTGCACCTGTCACCCACAGACGACTCTAATCTCTGAGAAAGGAGACATGTGATACAACCCAATGATCCCCTAAGATTTTTTTTAGAATAATTATTTTAACTTTGTTATTTTTTTTTTTTATTTGACCAGAGAGGGACAGAGCAACAGAGAGAGAGGGAGAGAGAGAAAGTGAGAAAGAAAGCCACCAGGTCCGGGACTCAAACCACAATCTACCATGTGGGAATCCAGCACCCTTAACCACCATGCCACCTGCCAGTCCTCCCTAAGATTTTTACCCTGGATGTACGGGGAGTGGGATTAACCGGAGGGTCAAACCGTCATCTGGACGTATGAGGGAACAGAGGGCAGAGTTCGGGGCAAAGGCAGCCAGGGTCGGAGAAAAGGTGTGGTCACCACAGACAAAGAGCCCCAGAGGTCTGCTCGGAAACGCTCCCTCGTCCCTTATCACACCTCCAGAGCTGTACAAGCGCAAGACGAGACCACAGCTGCGCCGTTAGGAAGCAGATAGCGGCGAACTGAGATTCCCAAGGTCAGCGCCGGAAAGCTGTTGGCATTTGGGCCCGCCGTAGCTGAGAGATGTCAGTGAAGACAATGGACATTCAGGTGAAATCCCGCAAAGTCCAAACCGTAGGAAAATGGGCTCCACTGAAGAAATATAAACAAAACCGAGACTCCTAACCTAGTAAAACACTGCACCAGGCCTTACCAGAACGAAGTGAAGAGCAGGTCATTTAATCGCCTGTCTGAACAAAACTTGGTAACTTTCAAACGCACATGATTCGCATCATCTATAACAGTTTCTCCACGAAGTTCCGCATATCTTTAAAGTGTGCTAGACGTGGGGTCAGACGACGGTGCAGCAGTAAAACGTGATGCTCTGCACTGTAGTCACACACGGGAGGTGCTCGGTTCAAGTCCAGAGACCTCCCTGAATACCTCGGGCACACGCCTGCCCGTGACCCGGGGCTGCTGAGGACTGAGGATGGATCGTGACTTCAGGGACCTGTTGGGGATGCTGTCTGTCTCTCTGTCTGTCTGTCTGTCTATCTCTCTCTCTCTCTTCCTCCCTCCCTCTCTCTCTCTCTCTCTTATGGAAGACATAAAGCGTTTTGGTTCCACCACCTGGGAGAGGAGGGGCTGGTGGGCCACACTGTAATTCCTTGTCCTTCATTCTACTCCTGGGATTTTGGTCATGCACACACATGTGCCCTGTGTGATTTTCAAGACACTGCGTAAAGACTCGAACTGAGGTTGGCCATGTAGGAGTCCGGCGCCTGAACCACCATGCCACCTGCTGGCCCCAATATAAAGACATTTTTAAAAGTTTACTAGACACCCAAAGAAGCAATAAAATGTAGCTACCAATCACAAGATAAATCATTCAATAGAAGTAAACTCAGGGTGATCCAAAGAGTGGCATTAGCAGATAAGAATTTCAAAAGAACTTAAATGTGTTCAAGGAAAAAGAAAAATGGGTAAAAGACAGTGTACCATGAAAGAGAACTAAAATCCACGAGGAGCATACAAAATGAACATCCTATAACTGCAAAATACACCTAAGCTGAACGGATGTAACGGCAGGAGACACACTCGCTCTAACAAACGTGAAGACACGTCAATTAAAAAAAAAATCCAGACTGAAGTACAGAGAGAAAAAGATTCAAAAGACAACCAAAACAAAACAACAACAACCCTATGAGATGTAGGACATAACCAGAATGCGAGAATAAGCAGGAAGACAGGCTAGAAATAGGCGATGGAAGGAAAATCGGTGGCTGAGAACGTGCCCTTGATCTTTCACACATCAACCCCTAGATTCTACCACTGTGGGACTCAATGAAATTCAGTAACAGAAAAGCTCCAAATGTTACAAAACTGAGCACCATACTTCAAAATAACCCACGTATCCAATCACAAGGAAAATTCCAACAATATTCGGAGTTAAATGAGAGCTGGGAGTTTACCAAAAGACCCTAGAGGGAAAATTTTAGACAAATTTGTTTTAATAAAAAGGCAAAGGGGCAGATGGTGGCACAGAAATAAAACACTCTCTGCAAGGCTGACCAACATGGGAAGGTTCCAGGTTTGGATCTGGAGACCTCCCTGACCACGCCAGGCACATTACCCACGATCCAGGGTTGGGGGTGGATCACAGGACTGAAGACACTGTTAGTGGGCCTGTCTCTGTCTCACTCGTGGAACAAATAAACTTTTTTTTTTTTTAAGAGGTATTTTCTTTTGCTATAGGGCATGTGTGCTCGCCAGACAGAGAGACATACAGAAAGCGAGAA